ATTCCTAAGCACACCATTCGCAGAAAGGTGGTAATAGAAATAACTTTCCTTTGATATGAATGACTTCTCAGGTGTGCCACACGCTTGCTTTCACCCCCAGCTTCTGTGATGAGGGGAAGCAGGGCAGTGTGTGGGGAATGCCTAGTTAGTCTCATGACCCATGAAACAGCCTTGACCTGCTCCTCACCTGGTTTGGCACGCCTTTGTTTATCACGTCACAGGGCATGCATGCTCTGTCAAAGCGCTCCGAAAACACAAGTAGTCAAGCCTATTCCTGAAAGCCTATCTGAAATTCCAGGTGGCACACCAAGTGTGTCTACAGTGTCATATGTGGACAGCAAGTGGTGAACAGCTTTGGTACGCTAGACACAATGTTGTGTATCCGACATCTTGGATTTATTTAATTTTAAAACAACTTACTAAGTTATTTATTTTTAGGCTATTCATTCAGGGACTTATGTTGCTGGTGTCCATTAGATTATAAGAATTATTACCAAAGACTGTGTCTGTAAGGGAACACATGTAGATGTTTTGCAAATGCTTGATAGATGTCCCCCTCCCTGCTTAGGCTGTATCTCTGTCTACTAAAACAGAATTTCTGTTTCAGCTTGAATTTTTAAACCTGATTCTTATACCCCAAACAGAGCTCATAATTATTAGTGAGCTAGCTAATCAGATACTAAAAATCAGTTGCCTATTTTCTGTTGTCCCTGGCAAGGAGAGACACATTTTTGCAATTGCCATTGTACATTCCAAATATGTGCTCCGGGAGGGTGGTCAACCTTCCCTCCCTCCTTTGGGTGATAATGAAACAACAGTGGAGATCAAGTCTCTGCATACATAGGAGCTAAGCAGTGCCTACTACAGCAACCCCTGGGGAATGAGAGCAGGTCCGCCTTTGGTCCTTCAATGGAAGAAGGGCCAGCTAGCGGGGACACATGACTTTTGAGCTGTCCTAACCTAACCCAGTAAACTTAAAATGTAGCACGGAATATACCAGATATATTGAGCTGTGTACTTGCTCTCGAGGAACTATGAAATTCACAGGAGGGATGCAGTGGTCCCTGGAACTGAAGGGTCAGGTGCGGAGGAAGTCCAGCTCAGAGTATGATGAAGAAATCAAAGTGATGGACTGTAGTCAGCTCTTGAATAAAAGGTGTGGAGGAAAGGATTTAGAGGGGAAGATTAGACTGCAAAAAAAATGCTACATGGAAATTCTCTTTCTAGATGTGTGTTTTCATTTTAATTTAGTTCATGGTAGAAAAGTCACTTGATCTTGTGTTCAAAAATTAGATACCATTATATATATTCAATAACTGTTGGCTGAAAACTATGTATATGCTTCTAGACAAGATCGGAATGAGTTAGAACTGCAATGGGGACATAGGATGGGAAGCCACCGGAAAGGAGAGAAATGAGAACAGACATCGATGTGTTCATTTTTTCCCTTCACTCTAGCAGTCAGGGCCAAGGCCTTTAAAAGAATCTTGCTCACTTAAAGAAAAAACTTTGTCTCTTTCCACAGTTAATGATGGGCAAAGAACCTGTGAGAAACATGTTTTTCTTTTCTTTTTTTTTTAATATTTATTTATTTATTATGTATACAATATTCTGTCTGTGTGTATGCCTGCAGGCCAGAAGAGGGCACCAGACCCCATTACAGATGGTTGTGAGCCACCATGTGGTTGCCGGGAATTGAACTCAGGACCTTTGGAAGAGCAGACAATGCTCTTAACCTCTGAGCCATCTCTCCAGCCCCCCGAGAAACATGTTTTTCAATAGAACCATATTTAGAAAGTATGCTGCTGTTCTTTAAATTAAAAAAAAAAACTGAGGCTAACAGCTTAGATTTCATATTCCAAGAGTGTTTAAAAAAGCTCAGCATACCCCTCCAGGAGTGCATTTTTAACTAACCTTTACTCAGAAAACTGTATTTTAAAGCCTAACCTGACTTAGAGGAAAACTTCCAGGGATGAGTCTATGGTTGAGGGATTTGTTTACCTCTCTCATCATTTCTGTTGTTCCCCAGCTCTTGGCTGAGACAAATTCTGTGTAAATTCAGATCTGAGCAGAGTACCAAATCCCTCAAAGTTACTAGCATTTCCTACAGTCGCAAACCAGGCATCCACAGGGCAGGCCTGCCAGTCCTTGCCGTTGGTGACCTGTGAAGGCAGACAATTCAATCTGATCATGAGTTTCCTAGTAATTCTGTTGGGAGGAATTTCCCAACAGATGATCCTTGAGAATGGTAAAATTAGACTCCCTGTCTGATTTAGTGAAAGGGTCACACTGGTATGCAGAACTGAGAGAGTTTCCTTCATGCCTTGTGAAGCCAAGAAGAGGCTAACTCAAAACTGGACACTGGATTACCCTCAGAAAACATGGAAAGATTTCCAGTGAATCAGGAATCAGGATTTCTTTTGTAAAGAGAGACATATATATATATATATATATATATATACTCCAAATGAATCTTTAGCACAAACATTTGGTAAAGAATGGTTTGTTTGACATCCTTATAGAAGTACTTAAGTCTGTTCATCAAAAACATGACCAGGAATCTTGTGTTAATAGATGGTAAGGGTCATCCAATCCAACACGCCCTTGACATCTGTGACATATCCCTTGAGCACATTCAGATACCTTAGTGTTCTTCCAAAGGTTCCTTTTGCTCTTGGTTGTCCAACCTCTTCCCACTAAGTTTCCCAGTTGGTGTGTGAATCACTCACTCTCTTTGCTCCTTATATATTGGGAGAGATTCTTTTATGAAATGGAAACCATAGGGCTTGCTTTCCTTTTATAATAAGACTTTGTAGACAACTAACTAACTTTCTCTGTGTGCCTTAAAGTAAGCCATCTCATATCTCCTGAGAATCATGGGGAAAGGCTTTGTTATCTTAACTCTTTCTTCATGAATGGTCTTCTCCAAGTTTTAAGTCTTGCATCTCATTCTCCGTGTTCGGTTGTTTTTGTTTTCCTGAGATAGAGTCTCAGATAGCTCAAGCTGGCCTCAAACTCACAGCATATTCAGTATTCACCTTGAACTCCTGAACTTCCTGCCTGCACTTCCTAGGTACTGAAATTGTAGGCATCCACCATCATATAAACTCCATAAGTACTTAAACTGTACCATTAAGAATTTGATCTGTGCTTGTATCATTTCTAGCCTGATTTTTTTTCTCTGATGTGTTCTGTGAATTTCTGGATCATACATTATCAATAAAATGCAAAGGTCTTACAGTGTTCCCTAATGGAGTTTTGTGTGTTTACATGGTATATATAATGAAATCATTTTTAACTTCATATAGCTATGCAGGCAGCTTCTGGTTTGTAATACTTCTAGAAACCTGACAATGTTATCTGGAGACTTCTCATTACACTTCTGAAACAGATGAGAACTAGTAGGAATTAAATATGCTAGAATCATATTCAATAACATTTAAATTTTCCAGTGCTTTAGTTGATAAACAATACCGACTGCCCTTCAGTGGGAGGTAGAACTTAACAAGACTGCCAGTCCCACTGAGGTGTCCTTTCTCTGACTCAGCCAATATGGATGAGACTTAAGAGCAACAGGACTTAAGCCCTACAGCAATATTTGCTACACACTAGTCAAAATACTATTGGGTATATAAATTATGTTGATAGAAAATTTTCTAGTTGCTGGAAGGATGTAGGTGGAGGCTGCTTGTTCGTTCCCATCTGCCCAGACCTGAAATAGTCACACGGAAACTATATTAATTATAACACTGCTTGGCCAATAGCTTAGGTATCTTTCTAGCTAGCTCTTATATCTTAAATTTAACCATTTCCTTTTCCATGAAGTAGGAACTTTGAAAGACTCTTTTGCCTCTACTGGCAGTTTATCAGTCGCTTTCTTCTGTATCCTGAAGAATGTTTGGCAGACTCTTTTATGAAGCAGTAACCCCAAAGGACTGTCTTACTTTCTTTAGGTAAGTTTAGCAGTCATTTTTCTGTGGTTCCTGCATTTCCAATTCATCATCAAGCATCTGGACAAGAGAAGTTTCTTGTCCATCAAGCAGTCTGGACAAGAGAAATTTCTTGCCCAAATGTCTAACAAACTCCATGAGGAGCCTCCTTGATGCCCATCATCCTCTTGAAGTAGAAGGTGAGATCTTCTTTTGGGGTTTCTTCTACATGAAAGTGTCTGCCATTCTGCAGGACACAGAAGAAAGTGACTGACAAAATGCTAATATAGGTGGAACTGTCTTTGAAATTTCCTGCTTTATGGAAAAGTCTGCCGGATACTATGGGCCAGTAGCTTGAAGATGGGTACCCCAATGTTACAGAAGAACTTCGGGTGACTGTCCAGGCAGTGAAATGTCTCTGTCAATTTTAGAGTTTTGGAAGTTGCTTACAATGCACTTCCTGTCTATTTAGGTAATATTATATCCTTCTGGGATGTTTGATGGAGTTGAAGAATAGAGTTATAGTTTTCTTTAGTTATGATAAAGATTAAATAGATATAAATACTGTGACTGTAATTTTGCTTGATACTTGTTTTGTTATATGTAATCTTGCTATGTTAAAGTTAAAACCTTTCTTTTTATTTAGACAGAAAAGAGGAGGTGATGTGGAATTGCTCTCTGTATGTTATAAATATGTTTTATTGCCATTGGCTAGTAAAGAAGCTGCTTTCAGCCAATGGCTTAACAGAATATAGCCAGGCTCGAAGAGATATAACAAGAGAGTAGGTGGTGTGAAAGAGAAGCCATGTAGCCGCCAAGGGTGGTGATACACAGATTAATGGAGATGGGCTAGTTTAGGATATAAGGACTAGCTAAAAATATGCTTAAGCTATTGACCAAACAGTATTGCAAACAGTACAGTTTCTGTGTGATTATTTTAGGTCTGGACAGCTGAGAAAGAATGAACAGCCTCCGCCAACATACATACAAGGCAATGGGGTAGTTAACTTTGCATTATTTTGACAAAGTAATTGACAGGAAAAAAAAGGAGTATAGATTTATTTTGCTCACCATTTCAAAAAGTTCAATCCATGGTTACTAAACTTGAACATCAGAAGTATATCATGATGGGGAAGCTTGAGGCAGAGGAGAGCACTTGATTTCTTGACCTACAAGAAAGCAGAATGAAGGGGAAGAGGCTGGTCCTCTGATGGTCCTTCCCTCACATTCCATGTGGGCCTCAGCCCATGAAATGGTGTTGTCTACATTAGGCTGGGTCTTCCTGTCTCAGTCAGTCTTCTATATACATGCCCCCCAGACATACCAGAGGTGTGCCTTACTTCTCTTTGTGCTTCCAAGTCCAGTCAAGTACATAACAAAGATCAGCTATCTCAGCCTGCTTTGAGAGAAAAGACACATTGAGCCCAGATACAGATGTTTGTTGCTGTAGCAGAACCTGGAGATTCTGTGCTAGTTAGAAGTGGTCTTTTTGCCTGCCATTGTTTGAAGCTTAGAACACTAGATGGCATGGGATGCAGAAGGGAAGGAAAGACAAGGTGGGATGAAATGCAGGATGGAAGGGAAAGGACAACAGATGGGGATACATCTCCCCTTACATGAGTCTGGGAAGGGGATTTGTGTTATTTAGGAAAACTTGGGTCCCGATTCCAGAGATTAGTCTGTGAGCTCACAACAGTTTACTTTGCTTTAGAAATCAGCTGGAGTGAAATATTCCTGGTGAGTGAGTGGCTGCTTTCATGTGATACACACAGCTCCGCATGTGTCTATGAGATCACTGCTACAGCAAACTGAAGACTGTTCTTAAACCCCCAGGGGTTTGTTCTTGACTCCAGTCTATTGCTATTCATGTATTTGCTTTGAACCACAGAATGGCTTTTCTGTCGTAACCTTATTGTATTGAGTAAGATTTTATAGAAATGGGATCACAGTCTTCACCTCTCTCTCTCTCTCTCTCTCTCTCTCTCTCTCTCTCTCTCTCTCTCTCTCCTACTGCTTTTTTCAAGGCAGAGTTTCTCTGTGTTGTTTTAAAGCCTGTCCTAGAACTAGCTCTTGTAGACCAGGTTGGCCTCGAACTTACAGAGATCCACCTGCCTCTGCCTCCTGAGTGCTGGGAATAAAGGTATGTGCCACCACCGTCTAGATGCTTCAGGTTTCTTAAACTAAACATAAAATGATCTTGGTGGTAGTTCATTTTGTTTTATAAACTTATTTCTTGGTGGTAGTTCATTTTATTCTATATATTAGAAACTTGTTTCTTTTTGTTGTCTAATAATTCCACTGTTTATCTATTACCTGTTGGAGCACCTGGATTACTTCCATTTTTTGCTAATTGTGCACAAAATTGCTATGGAGTGTTTCCAGGTTCTGTTATTGTGCACAGAGCTAATATAAATATTTGTGTACAAGTCATTGCATGAACATATGTTTCTGTTTCTTTTGTATAAATACTTAGAATGGAATGTCTGGATCATATGCTTTAACTTTTTAAGAAACCAAAAGTTTCTTCTAAGTGATTATGCCATTTTCCATTCCAGCAAGGTTCCTGTTACCTAGCATCCTCATTAGCATTTTGTAATTCCCATCATTTTAATTATGGCCATTCTAATGGATATTCATGACTTTTCATTATAGTCTTAATTCCCACTTTGCTGATGAATATATTTCTAGGCCATCTCTTGCCTACATTTTGAGGTATCTGTTCAAGCTCATCATTTTTATTGGATTTTCTCTCCTTCTCTTTCTCCTCACTTTCCTTCCTTCTTTTTTTCTCGTGGTTTATTTGAGACAGAGTCTCACATAGTCCAAGCTGGTCTCAAACTCATAGAACTAAAGGTGACCAGTCTCTGCCTCCTGAGTGCTGGAATTCTAGACATGCACTACCAGGCTTAGCTAGGTTCATTGCTTTCTTATCAATTCTGAATGTGGGTTCTTTGTTAAGTATGTGAGCACCTTTTTTTTTTTTATACTTTGCTGGCTGTTCATGCTTAACAATGTGCTTTAAAAAGGAAAACTAATTTTGGTACATCCTATATAAAATTTCCTTTGGCATTTCTTTTTTTTGGGGGGGAGGTTCCTATTCCAGAGGTCTTGACAAAACCTAGTATCAATAGAATCTCATCCTTGTTTTCTTTTCTCAAGAAACTTTATTGCTTATACTTGTATTTAGGTCTGTGATAATTTGGAGGTGATATTTTTAGTATTTTGAGATATGAAAGATTTTCTTTAAAAAAATGTGGCTATCAAAAATCATTCCATGCTATGGTTTGAATGCGGTATGTTCTAAAACTCATGTTGACATTTAATCCCTATTGGAGGACATAAAAAGGCTGTAAACTTTTACTTTTAAAGGTAAGGCCTTTGCAGTGTGCTTAGATTCGACAAGGTCAGCAAGGTAGAACTTTGGCTATGGTGGCTCCCGAAAAAGAATGGGGGATGCCAGTTGAAGATATACACATGGGTTCTCTGTCGTTCACCCTGAGATTTCTTCACCGTCTTGATATTCTACCAACCAGAAGGTCATCATAAGATGAGGTCCCTTGACCTTAAACCTCCGGAACTGTGAGTTCAGGCATTTAATCTCATCTGTGGCAATGTGTTATTTTGGGTGGGAGGTCTCTGTCTATGCGTTTCTTTTACTGGTTAATGAATAAAGAACAGGCTTGACCTATATAGCATGGGAGGAGGAGGGCGGAGTCAGGGAGCCACCATGGAGCCACCACCAGAGATAGAGGCCAGTTGGAACTTTAGCTGGTAAGCCACAGCCACGCGGCAATATACAGAATAACAGAGATGGGTTAGTTTAAGATATGAGTTTAGCCAGAAATACGCTTAAGCTATTGGCCAAACAGTATTGCAAATAATATGGTTTTCTGAGTGGTTACTTAGTGGCTGGGGGGGGGGGGCAAGACAAACAAGCGACCCTTCTCCCAACAGTTATTAGCAACAGAAGTTGGTCTAATGCATTCTGGAGTCTCTGACTCTCCTTGCCATGATTGCTCAGTGTCATGGACTAAAGAAGTATGCCTGTTTCTGGCCTCTGTTCAGGGGCTTTCGCCCAGCAGTGCGACATCATCCTGATTACTGTGGATGTCATCTTGATTGCTATGGATAGCACGAGTTCCCCATCTTTCTTCTTTTTCAAATTTGTTTTGGCTTTTCCAGATCCGTCAAATCTATAAGGGAATTTCTGAATCATCATGTCAGCTTCAGTGACGAGGCCTCTGCTGAATTTTGACGGGGCTTGCTCTGAATGCACACATCAGTTCGGGTAGAATTGACATCAGAACAATCGAATCATTCAGTGAACTTATGAACTTCCAATGAACTACGAACTGAAGTCTTTCGATAAAACCCTTGAACATGTTTCCTTTTAACTATTCAGAGGATTCCTCTCCAGTTTTCCTTGAGAGCTGTCCTATGTCCTTCGTCATGTGTGCTCAAAGGGTGCTGTCACTTTTAGGTGCTCCTACAAAACAAACAGAAGTTTAAATTCTAATTTTCCAATATTTAGTACTAGCATACAACACAAAATTGAAGCATTAAGTTTCACATTAATTTTCATAGTTGTGATGATTCCTTTAGAATTATCTACATAGATTCTCATGCCATCTATAAGTAGAATTCAGTTTTCTTCTTTTACTTCCGATGTTATTTTTCTTTCACGTGTTTTTTCTTTTTTTCTTTCAATGCTATACAGTTAGCTTTTGCTCTTGTTTATAAGGGGTGGACGGATGGCCCACAGTACATGAAAATTTTTATATTGGAGTGCCCGGAAGAAGAGAAATGAGCATAGAGAATCCATAGGAGAAAGTAGGTGTATCTGACGTTTTTGAATAGAAGTTTGTATTGACTTTTAAAGGAAATTTCTTAAAATATTTAGCAGATATCTTAAACTGCTGCTCTTTGAAAGGCAGGGTGGTAGCTAATAGGACAAAGAAAATCAAGACATGGTGAACAGACAGGTTTAGAGTTAGGAAGCAAAGGTCAGCTGCTGCCTATTTTGTTGTTGCTCTTGCTTTCTGGAACATTCACGTGGAAGCACCTTAGAGGTAGTTTCACAGAAAGAGAAACATATTAGAAATATGAAGAAACTATGTTGTTTTGGCTGGAAAATATTGTAAATGTCAGAACCTTTAGTGATTGTTCAAGTAGGTAGATGAATGCCAGTCAGTTCACGGAAAATGTCACTCAGACCCCCGAGCATTTTTTTCTGAGCCCAGTGCAGGCTGCAGAAGCAGCCTCAATCTCCAGACTCCATTGCTGGATTCTTTTCTCTTTTTCAACAGTATCTTCCCTGTTCCAATACTCTCTTTCCTATTCCTTCCTAATAGCAGTTCTTAAGAAAACTGACAGTTTTTTGGTTAGAGCCCTCACACAGGTTGTCAGCCCTCACTGTACAATATAATAATCTTGGTTGTTTCCCCTTTGCTACACAGTTGATTCTTTCTGTAAACCACCACACTTCTTTACAGGACCCACACTTTCATACTAAGGCTTATTTCAAGTTCTGTGTATTTCTGGTAACAATATTCTTCTTTACTATTCTTCCTACTCCAGTGAGGAATAGCTGTGTGCCCTATATTTGTACAGTTACCAGGACGGATATACATGCTAGGAAGAGATGGAACATCAGAGAATGACCCTCAGCAGAATAAAAGTGATTCATCTGAGGGTAACCTGTGCTCTTAGGGTGTTTTATAAAGGAACACTTTCTTTCACATGTATGTGATCGTGCCCTCAATTATTCATTGCTTCCCTCACTGCTCCAAATCCTCTCTTCCTAAGAAGGATGCTTTATGTGGATAGCACCACCAAGACATCTCTGCCTAGCATTCATTCCTCATGCTCTAGGCGATAGTAGGACACATGTAAGAAACCATGGGAATAAGAAGGGGCTCAGGGCTTCTGCCCCCACTGTCTTGCTGCCTGCCAGCTGCCACAGGAAAGAGTCGTCCATCTATAGCAAAGAGCACCCCCTCCTGCACTCCAGCTCTCTACACTCTGTCTGGCCAGTCTTTCCAAGGTCAGTAATGGTAACAGGCTCTGTTTCTGCTACACTTAGACTTCCCTTGATGTTCTCTTTGCCCTGTTCATTGAACCCCTTTGCTAAGTTTGTCGGCATGCCCTGGGGCTGCTACGTGGATCCTAATTAATGTAATGCCCATTCAGACTTAACTTACCTCTTCAGTGACAGAAGGGGGTTCCCATGGCTTTCCTTCCCATGGTACTCTACAGGATGACCGACCACCACAAAACTACTAATAACCCTAGATTACAAAAGACAGAAAGGAACCAGACTCAGTACTTATGAGTGAACCCGAGGTTACTTTTGAAAACCCGGGCTTCCAGACACAAACCCTGTTAACGCAGGTGTTCTGAGTTTATTTTTTATGTGTGTGTGCTTTGAGCTTGACCCTTCTCCTCGTAGGGTTCCCAATTAACTATGACGGATTGCGACTGTGTTATCTTATTCCCAGAGTGGAAGTACAGTGGCTGGACTATGCCTGTCTAAACCACAGGGAAATGACTCTGACCTTAGCCCTGTAAGATACCAATGGAAATCTCTCTTTGTGCACCAGCTAGCTTGTCACTGGAGGGTGGACGTGACAGGTATTCCGTGAGGATTTGTTTCTGTGCCATCACTCTCAGGGTAGCGTGGAGCGACCTGCAGCCCTTTTCTCCGCTCGCCAAGGGCAGCACTCATACTCTGAGCTGGACAAACTATTGAATCACCGGATTGCCTCCGAGAGAAACTTTAACCAGGGGCCTGAGCGGAGTTCACTGTTCTTAGGAGGCCCTGGGTGATCTGGGTTTTAATACATCGGTCTTCATAGATGATGGTCCTGAAAGAAATTTCTAGGCGATTTCTAAGTTATTTTAGCTGGTTATTTTCTCTGCCAGTCTGAAAATCCACCCACCCTCTGCTCCTTCCTTCTTCATGATTTCCTCCCAATAAAAACAGTCATTTCTTTCTCTCAGAGTACATTAGAGCAGCCTCTCAGGGAAGGAGGTTTTTCATCCACATGTTAAGGTTACAGGGTCCAGCAGGGCCAGCAAATGCAAACCTGGAATGAATGTCTTCGAAGCAGAAGTCCTGGACCAATCCTGTCATACACGCAGAAAACAAATGGCCCGGTGGAAGCATCATGTAAATCACTCAAGAGAGAGTGCCAAATCGTTCACTGCATTCCTTCCCCAATTCAAAACTCAAACAGCCCAGTGCTCTAAACCCTCACCTAGAAACCGGGGAGGGGAAACGAGCTGTGAATAACTCTGGGGGGAGTGTGAGGGGTGGTGGGAGCTGAAGGGACCACCTGCTAATCTGCCTTCACACAGTATTTTGTATCCAGCTATGAATCAAAATTCTTGAGCTCGGTTTATAGCTTTAAAGACCCCAAAGTACTGTTGCCATCATCACTATTAGTTACCAGGGATGGAGCCAAGACTTGTATAAGCGTCTATACTTCTTAAAGGATTGTCGATCTACCTGGGTTCGATCTGACTTGGGGGATCGGTGTAGGTGGGTTTCACGTGCCAGAGTTAATGGGTAGTACAGTCTATTACAGTCTTGGGAGAAAGGGTTTTGGTTTCTTAAGCCATTTATGCCCAGGGGAAAGAGAAATGTCATGTTATATATATGGCTAGGGAAAGGCACTTTGACACATTTGTAAAGAAACATGCTCTTTTCCAAAACCAGTTTTTTTTTTTTAAACTTTTCGAAATGACCTTTGTTAGTGTTTACAAGAAATGATTTTTGTAGTGGG